AAAACAAAGTTGCTGGAAAAGTTCTGAGCAAGGGTCACCAGACCCAAAACGTTAACTCTGTTTTCTCCTTTACAGATGCTCCCAGACCTGCTGAGCTTTTCCAGCAACTTTGTTTTTGTGTCAATGATGGGTAAGTTGTTGGAGGGGTTTCTGAGACACAGACATGTATTTGAAGGGGTGAGGACTGATTAGCGATAGCAAGCATGGCTTTGAAGGTGGGAAATTGTGTCTCACAAACTTGATTGAGTTTTTTGAACACGTGGTCAAAACAATAGATAAGGGTCCAGTGATAGACATTGTTTACATGAACTTTAGTAAGGCTTGTGACAGGGGTCTGCATGGTAGACTGCTTAGTAAAGTTAAAACAAAGAACAAAGAAAATTACACCACAGGAACAGGCCCTTTGGCCCTCCAAGCCTGTGCCGATCCAGACCCTCTATCTAAACCTGTCACCTATTTTCCAAGGATCTGTATCCCTCTGCTCCCTGCCCATTCATGTATCTGTCTAGATACATCTTAAATGACGCTATTGTGTCTGCCTCTACCACCTCCACTGGCAACGCATTCCAGGCACCCACCACTCTCTGCGTAAAGAACTTTCCACGCATATCTCCCTTAAACTTTTCCCCTCTCACCTTGAAATCGTGACCCCTAGTAATTGAGTCCCCCACTCTGGGGAAAAAGCTTCTTGCTATCCACCCTGTCTATACCTCTCATGATTTTGTAGACCTCAATCAGATCCTCCCTCAACCTCTGTCTTTCTAATGTAAATAATCCCAATCTACTCAACCTCTCTTCATAGCTAGCGCTCTCCATACCAGGCAACATCCTGGTGAACCTCCTCTGCACCCTCTCCAAAGCATCCACATCCTTTTGGTAATGTGGCAACCAGAACTGTACGCAATATTCCAAATGTGGTCGAACCAAAGTTCTATACAACTGTAACATGACCTGCCAACTCTTGTACTCAATACCCCATCCGATGAATGAAAGCATGCCGTATTCCTTCTTAACCACTCTATCCACCTGTGTTGCCACCTTCGGGGTACAATGGACCTGAACACCCAGATCTCTCTGTGTATCAATTTTCCCCAGGGCTTTTCCATTTACTGCATAGTTCGCTCTTGAATTGGATCTTCCAAAATGCATCACCTCGCATTTGCCTGGATTGAACTCCATCTGCCATTTCTCCGCCCAACTCTCCAATCTATCTATATTCTGCTGCATTCTCCGACAGTGCCCTTCACTATCTGCTACTCCACCAATCTGTAAACTTGCTAATCAGACCATCTATACCTTCCTCCAGATCATTTATGTATATCACAAACAACAGTGGTCCCAACATGGATCCCTGTTGAACACCACTGGTCACAGTTCTCCATTTTGAGAAACTCCCTTCCACTACAACTCTGTGTCTCCTGTTGCCCAGCCAGTTCTCTATCCTTCTAGCTAGTGCACCCTGGACCCCATGCGACTTCACTTTCTCTATCAGTCTACCATGGTGGACCTTATCAAACGCCTTACTGAAGTGCATGTATATGACATCCACAGCCCTTCCCTCATCTATCAACTTTGTCACTTCCTCAAAGAATTCTATCAAGTTGGTAAGACATTACCTTCCCTGCACAAAACCACGCTGCCTATCACTAATAAGCCCATTTTCTTCCAAATGTAAATAGATCCTATCCCTCAGTATCTTCTCCAGCAGCTTTCCCACCACTGACGTCAGGCTCACCGGTCAATAATTACCTGGATTATCCTTGCTACCCTTCTTAAACAAGGGGACAACATTAGCAATTCTCCAGTCCTCCAGGACCTCACCCATGCTCAAGGATGCTGCAAAGATATCTGTTAAGGCCCCAGCTATTTCCTCTCTCGCTTCCCTCAGTAACCTGGGATAGATCCCATCCCGACCTGGGGACTTGTCCACCCTCATGCCTTTTAGAATACCCAACACTTCCTCCCCCTCCTTATGCCAACTTGACATAGAGTAATCAAACATCTATCCCTAACCTCAACATCCGTCATGTCCCTCTCCTCGTTGAATACCGACGCAAAGTACTCATTAAGAATTTCACTCATTTTCTCTGACTCCTCGCATAACTTCCCTCCTTTGTCCTTGAGTGGGCCAACCCTTTCTCTAGTTACCCTCTTGCTCCTTATGTACGAATAAAAGGCTTTGGGATTTTCCTTAACCCTGTTTGCTAAAGATATCTCATGACCCCTTTTAGACCTCTTAATTCCTTGTTTCAGATTGGTCCTACTTTCCCGATATTCTTCCAAAGCTTCGTCTGTTTTCAGTCGCCTAGACCTTATGTATGCTTCCTTTTTCCTCTTTGCTAGTCTCACAATTTCACCTGTCATCCATGGTTCCCTAATCTTGCCCTTTCTATCCCTCGTTTTCACAGGGACATGTCTGTCCTGCACTCTAATCGACCTCTCTTTAAAAGCCTCCCACATATCAAATGTGGATTTACCCTCAAACAGCTGCTCCCAATCCATATTCCCCAGCTTCTGCCGAATTTTGCTATAGTTGGCCTTCCCCTGATTCAGCACTCTTCCTTTAGGACCACTCTCGTCTTTGTCCATCAGTATTCTAAAACTTACGGAATTGTGATCACTATTCCCAAAGTAATCCCCTACTGAAACTTCAACCATCTGGCCGGGCTCATTCCCCAACACCAGGTCCAGTATGGCCCCTTCCCGAGTTGGACTATTTACATACTGCTCTAGAAAACCCTCCTGGATGTTCCTTACAAATTCTGCTCCATCTAAACCCCTAACACTAAGTGAATCCCAGTCAATGTTGGGAAAATTAAAATCTCCCATCACCACCACCCTGTTGCTCCTACATCTTTCCATAATCTGTCTACATATTTGTACCTCTATCTCACGCTCGCTGTTGGGAGGCCTGTAGTACAGCCCCGACATTGTTACCGCACCCTTCCTATTTCTGAGCTCTGCCCATATTGCCTCACTGCTCGGGTCCTCCATAGTGCCCTCCTTCAACACAGCTGTGATATCCTCTTTGACCAGTAATGCAACTCCTCCACCCTTTTTACCTCCATCTCTATCCCGCCTGAAGCATCTATATCCTGGGATATTTAGTTGCCAATCTTGCCCTTCCCTCAACCAAGTCTCAGTAATAGCAATAACATCATACTCCCAGGTACTAATCCAAGCTCTAAGTTCATCTGCCTTACCTACTACACTTCTCGCATTAAAACAAATGCACCTCAGACCACCTTAGGCAAGGATCACCTGTGATTCAAGGAGAGCTTGCCAACTGGATATAAATTGGCTTGACAATAGGAGACAGATAAAGTGGTGGTAGAGGGTTGGTTTTTAGACTGGAGGCCAATGACCAGTGGCGTTCTGCAGGGCATGGTGCTGGGTCCACTGCTGTTTGTAATTTACATAAATGATTTGGATGAGAATATAAGCAGCATAGGGGGCAGCACGGTGGCTCAGTGGTTAGCACTGCTGCCTCACAGCGCCAGAGACCCAGGTTCGATTCCACCCTTGGGCGACTGTCTGTGTAGAGTCTGCACATTCTCCCCGTGTCTGCATGGGTTTCCTCCGGGTGCTCTGGTTTCCTCCCACAGTCCAAAGATGTGCAGGTTAGGTGGAATGACCATGCTAAATTGCCCATAGTGTTCAGGGATGTGTGGATTAGGGGGATGGGTCTAGGTGGGATGCTCAGTGGGTCGGTGTGGATTTGTTGGACCAAAGGGCCTGTTTCCACACTGTAGGGATTCTATGATTCTATGGTTATTAAGTTGCAGATGACACCCAAATTGGTGGTATAATGGACAGTAAAGAAGGTTATCTAAGAGTACAACAGGATCACAATTTCTTAGATACAAGTAGAAACATTTTAGGAAGACTTCAAAAGAAACTGCAATCACCGAAATACAGCAATTATTTAATTTGTCGAAGTTTTTGTGCTGATATCAATCCAGAGGGATGGAACATTTTCGCAGAACATGCACCAAGTATCAGCATCAAGTAGGTACAGCAAAGCTAAGTACAGGCTAATCCTTCCCCTAATTTACCCTAGTCTGGATATTGTCCCCAAATTTTCACTGCCCCATCTAAAAACATAATTTACTGCAAATTTGACAGTTTTGCAAAATCCCTAAATGTAGGTTTACAACTATTCTAGCAACCACTAACCATGTCAAAAGAAAGCGACTTTATATTTTTCCCCAGTTCAGCCCTCCTTACACTAATAAGCAAACTAAATAATCTTAGGTAGAGACGAAAATAACTGCAGATGCTGGAATCCAAGGCAGACAAACAGGAGGCTGGAAGAACACAGATAGCCAGACAGGATCTGGAGCAAAGGAGCAGTCAACTGAAATGTAACCAGGATTAGCACTGTTTGGCCTTTTGTTTGTCCTATTTTTTAGATGGGAGATTAGGTTCCTTGCCCACGACAAACTGATTCTACAATAAATGAAAATAATCACTGACTATCCTGTTTACCCTAACTTCAAATGTTCTGTGCTACAGACAGGTTAGTAAGCCTGTTATGTTCCAAACTTCACCAAACAGGTCAAAGTTTGATAATCTCCGCCAGAAAGTCACAAATGTTTTTTTTCGCAAATCACAATGCAGGATAAAAACTCAACATTATAACTCACCAACAAAGCAAATCGGCACTTTCCTTTAGGGTGCATATACATATACATAAACCTCATTTAGCAAAATGATTTTCAATATTCACATTCAGTGCTTTTGTTTTTGCATGACGGCATTCACACAGTGTTTATAATTTTGGGATTCGGAGCAATCCTCTTCCCCCCCCCCCCACCCCCACCCCCCCCCCGGTCCCCCCCCCCCCCCCCCCCCCCCCGTCTTCCCCCGCCCCCCCCCCCCCCCGGCCCGGGCCCTCTCCCCCTGCCGGTGCCGGTGCCCCCCCCCTCCGGCCCGGGCCATCTCCCCCCATCCCCGCCGGTCCTCTCCCGGCCCGGGCGCTCTCCGCCGGGCCCCGGTACCTGTTTCCCTTCGCTGCCGTGTCTGACCAGCTGCACCTCCCCGTAGCTGCCTTTGCCCACAATCCCGATGGCCAGGTACCGCTCCATGGCTGCTTAGTGCCGCTGGGGAAGTGCGGGAGGCCTCGAATTCTCGGCACTGTCCTGAGCAGCGTCCCCCTTCATATCTCAGCGAAGCCCGGCGTCCGGAAACGTGCGGGAAACAGGCCGCAGACCCGACACGGCTTCCCCATCACCAGGCAACCGGGACGGAGTTGGTAGGGAACAAGGGGCTCCACTATCTGGCCGACCTGGGAACTACAGCGGATCGCGGCCCCAAGCGCCACCAAGTGGTCAATCTGGCAACTACAGCGGATCGCGGCCCCAAGCGCCACCAAGTGGTCAACCTGGCAACTACCGCGGATCGCGGCCCCAAGCGCCACCAAGTGGCTAATCTGGCAACTACAGCGGATCGCGACCCCTGCCGCCACCAAGTGGTCAATCTGGCAACTACCGCGGATCGCGGCCCCCTGACGCCACTAAGTGGCCGATCTCAGAACTGCAGCAAATCGCGTCCCCACCCCTGGCGTCATCAAGTGGCCGACCTGGGAACTGCGGCGGATCGCGGCCCCAAGCGCCACCAAATGGCCGACCTAGGAACAGCAGCAGATCGCGCCCCCGGTGCTACCAAGCGGTCGACGTCAGAATTACAGCGGCTCACAGCCCCTGCCGCCGCCAAATGGCTGACCTGGGAACTGCAGCTGTCACGGCCCCCGACGCCACCATGTGGCCAGCCAGGGAACAGCAATGAATCACTGGAACGAGGAGGAGTATGTAGTAGCTTAGAATCGCTGTGGAACAAACTGGGAGAAAGACTGAGATAACAAGGTGTAGAGCTGGATGAACACAGCAGGCCAAGCAGCATCAGAGGAGCAGGAAAGCTGACGTTTCGGGCCTAGACCCTTCTTCAGAAATGGGGGTCCGCCTCGATCCCCTACAGTTTGCCTACCGATTGGAGACTCCTTCAGTGTCGTTTCGATCATATGGTTGAAGGGACAAATCTAACAAAAATAGAGCAGGATAAATCTATAGGCTACATTCCTTCTCCAGTCTAAAATGAATACTGCAAAGAAAAGAAAAGTTTACTGGTACAACAGAATTCGCAGAAAGTGAGACAGGTGACTGAGTTTTCCCACTGGTGAAGTATGGTGCCGAATGAATCTCATGGCGTTCAGTTTGTCAGGGTCCAAGGCATGTTTTCTCAGATAATCTTCCACTTTTCACCCGTGAGTTATGTAACCGAACTGTTGGGTGTGTTTCCCAGTGAGCCACATGGCCAGAGATGTTGACGTGCTTGCCACTGGCAAGTCCTGGCTTATGTCTTGGTGCTTAATAAAAGTTGTAATGCACACGACGTCAGACACTGAAAATTCAGAACTACCTCCCAAACTGTCATGCCACTGTACACTGGTATAAAGTCTGGAACTCTTTGTGGGGAGTACAAGAGATCAAAACAGCCAAGGGGGATTGGTTGAATTTATAGTTAGTGAAGGCTTTATTCTGTTTTCATGAGATCAAGGGAAGAGGGGCCCTAAAGTAATTGATATTATTTGACTTTAAGGGCTCTGCAAAGGTTTAATCCAAAAGGGTGGGTCATGGCAGGAGACCTCATTTCCGTGATTTGTTTCTTTTGCTCTATGTGGGAGTCTGGGCATATTTCCAAGGCCCTGGGCTAGCATATGTGTGGGAAGCATCTCTGGCTGCAGCTCCTAGAAGCCTGTGTTTCAGGGGAAATATGAACTAGCTCCTAGCTTTACAGACAGGGATCTGGAGGTGTTGGTGAATAGGGGAAGGTTTGGGCATTGGAGAGGAGCCTGAGCAGCCTGCTGACCATCAAAAGTGACTACACCAACAGTCCCAGCTGGACTGGACAGAAATTGCAGCTCGGGTCAGTATTGTGCCCCAAATCGAAACACGTAACCAACAGGACAGGAAGAAGCTCAATGATCTTCTGTATTCTGCAGGACCATCTTCTTTGTTTGCTATCTCACAGTCACAGGGCCACCAATCATTTTAACTCTGCTACTGTACATGCATCTCATGGCTGACAACACTATTGCATTATCATGTCAATTCAATTACCCACTTCAACTTCCCGAACTCCGAGTCTTTCCTACCGTCTGTGATTCCTTCTCACTCACTGGGGACACTTCGCCTCTTCTCCTGCTTGTGTGCACCAACTTGAACTGCCCTTACCTCCTTCATACTCAATCCCCCTCCTTATCTCATTTGAGGAAAATCTGCCCCGCTCCCCTGGACAGATGTGTCCATTGCTCTCCGACTGATCTATCAAAGTTTGACCTCCAGGTCTGACTGTAACAACGCCCTTTGGTGAAACTGGTCAAGACACTTCACTGACGGTTGAGGTACCTTTGACCAAATAGTAGACCCCTTCACCCCAGTAAGAAGTGTTCCCCTTTTATTTTCACACTTAACTATTTTCTTGAAATATATACAGTGAGTTACGCTGTTGGCACATGCTGCAGTTCTGATGATTTGGATGTGAATATAGGAGAAACGGTTAATAAGTTTGCAGATGACACCAAAATTGGTAGTGTAGTGGACAGTGAAGAAAGTTATCTAGGAATGCAAAGGGACCTTAATCAGGTGGGCCAATGGGCCAAGGTATGGCAGATGGAGTTTAATTTAAATAAATGTAAATTGTTGCATTTTAGTAAGACAATCCAGAGCAGGTCTTACACAGTTTGGGGCCTTGGGGAGTGTTGTTGAACAGAGAGACCTAAGGGTGTAGGTACATAGTTCCTTGAAAGTGGCATCACAGGTAGACAGGGTGGTAAAGAAGGCATTTGGCACACTTGCCTTCATTGTGAAAGTGCTGAGTATAGCAAATAAAAACCAAAAGAATTGTGGATGCTGTAAATCAAGAACAAAAACAGAAATTGCTGGAAGCTCAGCAGGTCTGGCAGCATCTGTGAAGAAAAATTCAGAGTTAACATTTCGGATCCGGTGATCCTTCCTCGGAACAGGATGTACGTCTGCAGGAATTGGACCAGGGGAGAGAAGACTGAGCCAAGGTAGGAAGAGATGAGTTCTGTGGGGCAGGAGCAGGCTGAAATAATGGGTCTGCCCGGACAGTCCTGTTTGTGGATTTTTGGAAGAAGGTAGAAGCGAGCTGTGTGGGGCTGGAGGACTGTCAGCTTGGAAGCTGTGGTGGGGGAGGTCACCAGATGAAATGAGATCAGTTACTGTAGTAGATACAACGGCCTGATGTGCCATGGTGAGGTTATGGCCCAGGGGAAGGTAGGAGGAGGTATCTGAGAGCTGGCGCTCAGCCTCTGCAGGGTAGAGGTCAGTATGCCAGACTACAACAGCAGCAGCCTTATCGGCAGGCTTAATAACAAAGTAAGGGTTAGATCTGAGTGCACGGAATGCAGTCAGTTTAGAGGGAGATAGGTTGGATTTGGTGAGGGGGTAGAGAAATTGAGGTGATTGATATCATGTCGACAATTCTCAAAGAACAGATCGAGTGCAGGTAAAAGGCCGGAGGGAGGGGTCCAGGTGGAGGGACAGTGTTGGAACTGGGCGAAGGGGTCTGCGGGATGGGGAGAGAACTCTTGTCCAAAGAAATAGGCATGGAGGCGAAGATGGCAGAAGAGGAGTTTGGCGTCATGTTGTGCCTGAAAGGTGGGGATGCAGAGGAATAAAGCTGAGGCCTTTGCTGAGTACAGAACATTCAGCATCAGAGAGCGGGAGGTTAGGAGGGATGGTGAATACCCGACAGGAGGTGGGGGGATTGGGAGAGGGGATGAAGTCGGAGGGAAGGGCAGGAGAGGAAGGTTCCAGAGGGCCATGGGTATCTTTGAGTTGTTGCATCTTGTGGGCCTTGATGCCTGAAAGGAAAAGAACTAGTTTCATGTTAGCACAACGAATGGGTCGGAGGATGAAGTGGAACTGCGGAGTGGTGCAGCCCTGAGCCAGTGTGATGCGATGCTGTTGGAAAGAGAGGTCGAGAGTGTGCATGTGATGCTGCATGGCCCTGAGCATGGATCTCAGGATGCGGCGAGAGCAGCTGTTCGTGGAACATTGAACATCATGGATTTATCTGTGATCCTGGGTGGATTCAAAACATAAGGGATGAAACTTCAGTTGGAATCCATGTGGGGTGAGTCTGAGCCAGAGGCAGTCACTGAGGAATGTGATATGACTGTGGAAATGAGTTGTAGCAAATACTTGGTTAAAAATTAAGTTGCTGGAAGCTCAGCAGGTCTGGCAGCATCTGTGAAGAAAAAATCAGAGTTAACATTTCAAGTCCGGTGACCATGGGGTTGCAGCTCGTGAGGCCACATTTAGAATACTGCGTACAATTCTGGTCACCCTGTTATCGGAAGGATGTTGTTAAATTTGAAAGGGTGTGGAAAAATTTTACAAGGACATTGCTGGGGTTGGAGGGTCTGAGCTATGGGGAGAGGCTGAATAGGCTGGGACTCTTTTCCCTGGAACGTTGAGGCTCAGGGGTAACCGTATAGAGGTTTATAAAATCACAAGGGTCATGGATAGGGGGAGCAGCCAAGGTCTTTTTCCCAGGGCAGTGGTGTCCAAAACTAGAGGGCATATGTTTAAGATGAGAGGGGAAAATTTAAAAGTTTTCTGAGGGGCAACTTTTTCAAGGAGACGATGGTGCGTGTGTGGAACAAGTTGCCAGCGGAAGTGGTAGAAGCAGGTACAATTGCAACATTTAAAGGAATTTGGATTGGTATATAAATAGGAAGGGTTTAAGGTGACATGGGCCAAACGCAGGCAAATGGCACTAGTTTAGTAAACCTGATCGCATGGACATGTTGGACTGAAGGGTCTGTTTCCATGCTGTATGAGTCTATGAAATTTCATCTTATAGAATTCCAATTATCATAAAACACATGGCAATATAACTCATTGTGAGCAACTGTATAATGCCAACATACTGAATGTATTGGAGACTTAAAATGCAGGTAAACCTGCAGATAAATTAAGTGCAGGTGTCTACAGATCCAAAGCACATGAGTCTCAACACAGCAGAAAAGAGTAACAGCATTCCATATTTAAGAAATAATGATATAACAGAAATGATGTGTTAAGTGTTTTTTTCAAATGAATGTGATGAATTTATTATTGATATATTTTGTGAATATTGTTACATCCAACATATTGAATTGCATAATTACAGAGTTTTTCTCAAACACACCCATCTTTAGCTCTTCATCATTACATTCTGAAC